ATATTTGCATGATACGAGACCACAGGCTTCTTACAGCGACCCAACGTGCCTCAAGTCGGTCCGGAATAATGATCCATTCCTGGAAAGTTGTTATGACATATTCCCGTCTCGTGTTTATCTAAAAATAAAAAGTTAAAAGGAAACAAATGAACTTTTATAGTCCATTGAATTGAGACGTGCTCGTGTGAAAACTCTAGTTATACATATGATTCACATTTTTTAACAGCTTAGTATGCCTGAAGCACTTGTTCATTCTTTTTATTAGGCCAACACTTTTATTGCTTTCATTCAGCCACTCACGTAAGCTTGTCATATTCATCAAAACCCTTTTCACTTTAAAGAAATTTCATCATCGTGTGACCAACACTTTTGGCTATAAAATATAGAATAATTATGCTCTACCAGGCCTGTAAAAGGCCTGGTAGAGCAGTTGCTCTCACATGAGGTGGAGGACCCACCTCATTAAACCCCCCGCCCCCCAATGTTAAACACCCACCCCCATCTCACATTTTCTCTACCATGCATTTTACAGGCTTGGCAGAGCAGCTCAGTCCTAAACAATATTTTGATCATAATAAACCATGAATAGTACCACAATATTCAATGGATAAGTGGTAGATATTGTTTTAAGAAAATTCGATCAGGGGTAAATATTTATTCCAACTATCCTGAAGTTCCAAAACACAAGTGTGAAGCATGTCTTCAAGTGTTCGAATGGTGCGTTCTGATTATCCATCAATCTGGGAATGAAATACAGTCAATCCTCATCACTTATGCAGAGTTTTCCAAAAGTCTCGATAGAGACGATAGACACAGGTACTCCATAAACTCTAACGATTTCTTATATATGACAAAAAGATAAATTATTCCGTGCTATATGTCATTCAAATTGGTAAATAGTGAGCCGACTTAGTAAGATAATCAACAATCACCCAGTAGCATCATGATTGTTTGTGGTTTGAGGTTAGTAAGATAATCAACAATCGCCGAATTGCATCATGATTTTTTTGTGGTTTGAGGTAGGCTAGTGACAAAGTCAACAGAGATTTTTTCCAATTTCCATTCAGGTATTGGCAAGGGCTGCGATAATCCTGGTTTCTGATGCTCAGCTTTTACTTGCTGACAAATTAAACATTTACTAACATGTTTTGCTCTCTCTTTTTTCATGTCAGGCTACAAATAAAGAGTCTTTATCTCATGGTACATTTTTGTTGAGCCTGAATGTATGGAGCAAGGAATATTGTTCGTTTCTACTATGATTTCTTCACTAATTTCGAGATTTTTCGAAACATATAATCTCCCTTAATAATTGAGCTCACCTTTGATAAGTGTATTTTATACACT